TTTAATTGATTAGAACCACGATTATATTTCTCTGAGACTAATTTAGAAAAAATGAAAAAATGAACAGTAAAATGCATCAGATTTTTCAAATACACAATTTTTCTTCAAATATTTAGTACTAACTGAATATTAATGACTACAGAAATACGAAGTTCGATAAATCCGCTCTTAAATACCAGAACCAGGTCAATCGTGACCCAGACCTACGAAATGTATTCAACGATGCTTGGACTAAAATTAGAAATTCAAATCTTTTAACGAAAGACTTTCCTATATTAGAAAAAGAATATCTAACGATAAGGTAAAGATGAAAAACAATGTAAAATTAATTTAAAATTACTCCATCTGAAGATTAAACGTAGATCCTGAGACGAGAGACCTCGATTCAAAATAAAATTCTCTGAAAAGTAAATCAGAATTACTTAAATTACCTCGATGTAGCCTCGTTGATTTGAAAATTTCCCTGCCACTATCGCGATAGAAGGTTAATATTATCTCGATAGCATCCTACGATTACGTTCACGTACAGGGGGAAAAAAATAACCAACCTAACCCAGTGCTCAATAATCAATGCAGGTTGTTGCTCCAAGCTATACCTAACCTTTCTGATAGTGATCAATATAGGTTGTTGCACCGATTAATCAGTAACTAAGAGATAATATCTTATTATAATCCAGTCTTTGTTCATATTATCAAATACCAGAGAAAGTAATTTAATTCAAATTTATTATATTAATCACTTATATGTCTGACAGAAAAATAAGCTCCTGACAATGCGGTTTCCAAACAAACAGATTAAAATACCAAACTCTACATTACACGAGTCGTTAGCAGAGAAAGAATTGGAGCGTCGAATGATAAATCTCATCCAATGTTTCTTCCTATTGTTTTCTTTATACCCTGTTTTATCTCTAAGCCCGATGCATTCAACCTAGTAATGTCTGTCATTGACATATTGGCGACAGACATTCAATCAACTGCTGAAATCGACGTCACTACGATCGATCTGACTGCTACAGAAAGGCACCCACACACACACAGCACTCCTCTGCTATTAACCAAGCGAAGAAAAATGCGAACGGAATAATACACTTGTGTGAAAATACCGCATTAGATCGTTTGATACCAAATGGCCGATTTTCACGACACAAAGCTACGGCAAAATGAAACTCGTTCCACGTCAATTCAAAGCATAAAATTCGATAAAAATGTGTGCTTGAATTTTTTTATAATCGTATTTAACGTTTATCAAATAAACCAGCAAATTTCACAAGCTGATTACGAAAAGGGAAATATTTTTAGAAAAAGTCCTTTTCATCCCCAACGAGCAAATTATTCTCTACCTTCCCTTTTGTCGGTTTAAACTAGATTTCGAGTTTTTTTAATTAGAAGCAAAACGGCAACGCAGGAGTATGTATTCGAAAATCGTTTGAGAGTGCTCACTTACACGAAGAGGTTCACTTCTCCCGCTTCTCGAGACTAAATTAAATGACGTTGGGGTGCCATGAACCCTAGTTTAGCGATGAGAGGGTCAGAAAAAAAAGGGTGGCGGTCGGGTTAGCGGGTCGAACGAGCCCGGAGAAAAAAAGCGGAAGAAGCGAAAGAAGAGGAAGTATTGAGCGTGGAAGAAAAGAGCAGGAGCCCTTTTCTTCTTTAACCACCCTACTGTACTTTTTGATCGCGCGTTTTAGGGTGGCGTGCCGAAACGATGTGTCATTCGGGCGGCCGCCTCTATTAAACGGCTGCTTCAAGATGACGCCTGGCATTTCGAGATGGCCACGATTTAATAATTAAATTAGCCTGACGATCGTGACACATCGCAGCCGATTGTTGAACGCGACGAATAACTCTAACCACCTACGATGTTTTTAATGACAGGGCTATTTCACGGGACGTTATTAAAGTGGGTCAATCACTGACGTCTCCCAACATTACGCTTCATTCGCAACCGCGTACCAAGCTGGCACCTCGCCAAAATTTCATCCAGAAACGTTCAAATTTATCGAGAAAGTACGCGTTTTCTTAGAACTTACAATGTACCGCGGCTAACGGAAAAAGTTGACTTTAATCAAACTCCAGGATTTCTATATTCAAATGAACGCTTCTATATTTAAATGCGAAACGGGGTTTCAGTTATTGGAAACAATCTAGGTTGCATAGAGTGAATTAAATTTAGTGAATATAAAATGTAGCTCCGGTTTGAAGATACTGGTCGATTACATTCGTTAATTTTGTGTCAAGAGTTTGCAAATGTGTAAGTAATGTTTAAATTAACTTTTCTAGGTATGCTTTCCATTATCGAAAGAATAAAAAATTTATTATAATACATTTTGTATCGTTCCTAAAGAATTTTATCATTTTACTGCTTGGTCCTAAACGCGTTAAGGTGTCTCCGTTCAAGCTTGAACACCATTGCGGTAACGTGTCGAGGCGAAAACGTTTATTTTCAGTCTACCTTTACACACCACGGAAGGAACTTTACACTAAGCTAGCGCATGCGTCTGCGTTCGCGCATCTCTTTATTATGCGGTTTCGCAACCCACTTCCATGCGGTTGAAAATCGACAAATGGAAAACAAGAACGTCGTGCGTACTGCGTTGAAAACTCATAGGCATACCTCGCTGGATAGCCGTAGCTAAATTAACGAATGCTAGCTAAACTCAGTGGCCACGTGCCAGTCTTACGTTTCAACGACCGTTTAGAGACAGTTTTAATTGGTACGTCCTTAGCAAAGAACTTTCGCACCCTTCAAATACCTGCTTATGTGCATTATTTTGGTAAAGAGAATCATAGATCAGGTCCGCGTGAATTTCAATTTTGACTAAATTCGTCAATTTTAAGAAAAATATATTTTGAATTTGGAAAAAAGCGTAATTAAATACTTGATTGTTTCGTTCAATAATTACTGTTGCATAGGGGTAAATGAGAAGTTCACAATTTTGATCGCCAGTTCAAATCCCAGCGAGGTAACTATTTTTTTTTTTTATTATTTTTAATTATAATAAAGTAATTATTAAAAATAATAATTTTAATAATAATTTTAATAATTATAGGAAGGATTCAAAATAATAATTTCAACGATTACTTTTAATTATAGAAATATGGATTTTTTAACATTTTAAATCTTGTACATTTGCTATTACACTATTAAATGCGAACCCATTGAAACGTTTTACTAAATTTAATACATATTTTTCCCAAAACTGACTTAACATCTGTGAGTAAAATTACAGTTACGCTATCCTATCAAATTTTACAAAAATCGGTGAGAAACGGAGCACCTCGATAACGGGGATGCAGCTCGATACTTTTATCGATATTATCAATATGTATTTATTGATAACGTTACTGATAGCAGCATCTTCACCAGAAAGTCTAGTACTAATCTTCAAGTACTTTCATTTATAAAATCTTCTCATTTCACTAAACAAATCTTGAAAAAAGAATACGTAATGAATTTTTCTACTATAAATAATCAACTATTATTCCTGATAATAATGGCGCATTAATTTCAATGATTTTTGTAAAAAATTACATAAATCAGAAGAGTAATTTGAAAGTAAAATTTCGTCCTAAAGCTCATCCTTCTTGCTCTGATTAATATCGTAAGAATCACACTGGTCGTATATTAATCAGTTTTAAAAACCGGATGAGTGGTAATATAAAAAACGCACGTACTTTTAACAAGCGTGGGCGTGTGTTGCATGGGATCGCATTGTAAGCAATCAGATGTTAGCCAGCCCCGTCACACTTGTCTTTACGCGCCGGCTTTCATAAATTTACACACCGAGACACGTCATACTGTGAACAATACTTGTACATATAATGCTACCCTGCAACGACGGCCATGAAATTATAGCGATCCTGCCGTTGAATGTCAGAAGTAACGAGATGTACATCTCTCATAAAGTACACGAATGACCTACATTCATCATCGCCGACTGTTACAGGGCCATAACGCCCTTTATCCTTCGCGAACTTGAATTATATGTGGACTTGTAATAAAATTCGATAAAAATCAAACCACCAAACCTGAATTTGCACGCGACGATAATTTCGTAAATAAAATCTAGATTTAACGAATTAATTTTCTAATACAGTGCTTGGACTTTCATTTACCATGATTGTATTTTCATGATATCCTCACTGTATTCGCTCACATGTTTACCATATGACTAATGAGTTTACCGGTCTCTCCCCTTTGCAGACGTCAGAAATTTTAACATACTCCTCTTAAATGTCAATCAACTTAGAGAAATTATAAGATAGATTATTACATCCTTGTGTAAATACTTAAGCAACATCATTCGTAGCTTAATGCAATTCGTAATTAGTTAAACAAACTTTAATTATTCATTCGAGTGATTATAAAATGATTTTAAATCCTTATGAATACACTGTGCTTTTAAATGAAATTACCATGTTTAATTTCTATGCATTTTAATAACAAAAGTTTTGTTTTCATTTTGAACACGTTTGGGTCGCCAATGGCTGAAGCATCAAACTTCAAATAGAATAATTGAAAAAGAAGAACAGAAACAAAGTTTTTAATAATATTACTATTACACTGGTAATACAACTCGTTATTGTTATTCTAATGTGCCATATTACTTAAGCGTGTTTTCACTACAGCAGACAATGTGTTAATTGACTACACTATTAGTTGAAAGAAAACAATTTTTCTTCTACATAGACGCATAGTTACGCATGTAACGATCGACGATAGTAACCATGCCCTCGCAGTATGAATGAAGATCCATTTGTGAAGATTCATTTACAAGGTCCATACTGATAGGATTATGACGTAATTTTACGTGAGCCCAAAGTGTATATGCTGTGCAGATAAACAGTAGCACGTACAGACGGATCGCAGATGTTGGATAGTGTGGTAATCCGAGTTGGCATAATCTCAGTGAGCATTAAAGAACTTCTCGGTAACACGAAGAATTTTCATACGTAACGTAACAACAACCCTTTTGATGAGTTATTAAGAGTAAGATACCTGAAGTGCATTCTTAATCACTGAATTGCATCGAAAGTGCATCAAATTCTTAAATGAAATTCGGAGTACTTTAACCCTTGAACAACGAAGTCTTGGTTAATCGAGACCTAAACTTACAAAACGTATACAAGAATATTAATCTAAAGTTAAATATGTAATTTTCAAACGAAAGAGTTTTATTCATTAAGGGAATAATTTTTAGAAGAACAGTATAGAATTTAGGGAATGAAAATTGGAGCTCGTCCGAGGATTACTTAATGCAATATATGATAAGAGATATATGAATTGTTATTTAAAATTTTTAATTTATACTCAAGATGTCTGATGCTTCACCAACAGAATAAGTATTAGAAAAATGAATTCAAAATTTAATCAACATAACATTTGCAATATATTTAATACAAAGGAATATCTTTTACGTTTTAGCGTGAGTTAATATTATCTTATATACAATTTAGATATTTTAACTCGGAACACAACTTATTAAATCTTTATTTAATATTGATATTTGAAGTGCACTTTATCAAGAGCAAACAAAATACTTTTAATTCGTGAATTGATTCTAAGAAAGTACTTGATAATCCACTCAGAAATATTTAACTGACACAAAGGCTTAAAATTAGAAATGAACCAAACTCGAATTAGTACGTTTCTCAGTTATTTTTTCTTTTGTAAGTATTTTAGTTCTGTGCAATTTAAATTCATCTCTCAGGCAAAATGTACTTCACCAAAAAGAAAAAAAAAATACAAGTTTTTGGCTCGAATCCATGTGCGCTCTTTTATGAATGCAGAAGGCTACTTTTTCTGGAAATACGCTTTGGTTCGTTGGTTTATTCTTAAAACCACGAAAAGCACGGTTCATATAAAAATAAATCTTACTCATTTAAACATACCAAAAATAGAAATTACTTTTTTCTACACTTTTGTGTGCATATTACTACCTATTGGTAGTGCCAATAGAAATATCTCTGCACTTAAATTTCTGAATGTAATTATTTTTACTGTTCAATTATATTTTACTAAATTTTTCTATAATTAGTTCAAAATTATTTTTTAAAGTACAAAATTGAAACACAAATAGAAATAATCTTCCATTCTGTAACATACTTCGTAAATTATACGTAAAACATAAGATCTTGAAGGCACCACGCATGTCCTCCAGGTACCACTTTCACAACCTACGTCCTATGTTAACCATGACCTCTGAGTTGGAACAATCAGTCATTACGCCTAACATAATGTCTCGTATATCGCACGGCATAAGTATTTACTCCCAAAGTAATTAAGACGTTGACCGTCATGGGAGGTTACTCAATTCAGACCTCGTAAAATGATAAGCCAGCAGAAAAGAAAAGGTAAACTTTTAATAAGTTTAATATATCAAATAACGGATTTCGAAAGATATAAAGTCTACCACAATTCGATGACATAAAAGCATCACAAAATAACACTTACACCATATCGATTTGAAGCTTAATATTTGATGAAAATGATTATATAAACCCTTCATTAATGTTCTTAATATACAATGGCTGGTTGCCAGTTGCAGCAGACAATGTCTGATCTCGAAATGTACAATGTCTGACACGAATTGATGACATAAAAGTACTGCAAAATAGCACTTATGCTATATCAAATTAAAGCTTAAGATCTAAAGAAAATGACTACCTAAATCCTTCGTTAAAATTATTAATATAAAATGACTGGTTACTAATTATAACAAAGAATAATCGATCTCAGAACATATAAAGTTTAAACACAATTTGATGACATAAAACTATCGTAAAATAGTATTTGTAATATATGAATTTAAAGCTTAAAATTTGCTGAAAATTACTGTACAAAGCTTTCATTAATATTTTTTAATACAAATTAACTATTTGTTAGAGACTCATTTTGCTCATTATTGTGTACTACTTGATTGGTGTAGTTTAATAAGCAGAAAATTAATAATACAAATTAAAATTAATTTCTCTAGTTTTGATTTTTCAATGCTATGCTTGAAAAAGCAGCAGTTCATTGTCCGTTCAGTATTTCGCGGCATTTAAATCGCAAGCCATGTCAAAGTAACACGCATCGATGAACAAATACACGATTAACAACTTTATACGTGTACTGTTATTCTCTCGGATGAATAATATCCATTGACTATCGTTGTACGTGTATATCTGTTAGACACGGTAAGAAAAGGGGTTGTAATAACCAGTAGGTTCCGTACGGCATCGCAAGTACAGAAAACCGGATGCGCAGCTTCTAGTGTCATCTTTCTCCCTTTCATGAATATTAAATTACACCATTTCATCAAAATTCCCTGTTTTCTAATCTTTCCGTCAAGATAAACTTGCACGCGGTAAATGCTCTGTAACTTGAACCGATGACTAACTTATGTGTTGCAAAAAAGAACAGGGCAACAATACACGCGTGAAAAATGTGTGGGATAAATGCAATATGCTAAATAAGCATTGTGATATAACATTAGAAAATATATGGCGGGACCCGTACGGGACCAAGCGTTGAACGAACCCAACGAAAGGCTAATAATTATAACTTCTTAACATCTTATCAATTCTGTCTTTCGTCTTTTAATTTGTCGAGAGCGTTAACACGCTCGAGACTGGTAGCAGCGATACCAACCATCGCGCTAAAATAGGAAAGAAGGTATTAGGGGTTGAATTCCAACCAATTAATTGAAATTTAACCACCTAAATCTCCAATCATTATATCTTTCGCCGTCGCACGCGCAACGTAACAAAATTTTGGTTAGGTGTGGATAGTGCTATTGGTGGAGTTGATGGCAGGTTTGCTGGTAATTGTGATTGCTGTAACGGTCTATGGATTACTGTATCGGATAAGGTTTTAGTCGGATGCGATAATCCGTCAGGACGATGTAAATCGTCAACGTCTACGTCCGATTCTACTGCTTCGACTTGGTTCTTATCTGTCACGTTTTCGTTCGATGGTGCTTCGAAGTGCGTTTCCGATTCACTTGAGATCGGTCTTGAGATCAGATTCCTGCCTTTGTCGCATAATTCTGGAATTCCTTGAATAATGTCATAAAAATAAATCTTATTTTATATATAATAAAATGCCGCCTTTATGCGGTGAACAACCTGTACATACACCTACACGCGGCAGTTCTACATATAGATACTTCAATGTATATTAGGAATAAGAAATGCTATAATGAACTAAATTCTAGAATCAATGAAATTCGTTTTATCATAACACTATTGTACACGGATCTTACTATTAATAACATGTAAAAGCTATTTTACCTGTTTTCCAGCGCGGGGTAACGTTTCCACGTTGGTACCGCCGACGACAGGCGCTTTTTCCGGCCCTCCATTTTGTTGGCTGACATTTATGTTGGCATTAACGTTCGCGTGTACATTCGCGTTAACATTGTTCATGTTATCGGTAACGTTTGTGTTCGCATTCGTGTTTCCCACACCGGCACCCCCGCCAGTACCACCCCCGCACTTTCCTTCCTCACCCGTCATCACTTCGGCCTCACCCTCCGCCGCCGGTTTCCACCCTTGTCGCCTCTCCCTTTCGCGTTCCGCGCCTCAAGCCTTCCTTCCGTTCACTGATTACCAATGTCGGTCCGTTGGCCAGAATCCGGATATCTGCTCGAACGAGACGATTCAGGAGAAACGGGCCAATGTAGGAACTGGGATAATTCTTTCAAATCTCATTGCTGACTGTCTCCCTAGTTTATCTCACCGTCACCATTCTTCCTATCCTCAACTTTATAGGTCACCGACTTGAACGGTAGGTAACTTTAAGAGCAACGAGACTAAGATGCAACGCTATGATTTTATCAATTCGTGTGTCGATACATTTACCGATGTTAAATCAAAAGTGTTCGCATAGCGAACCAGATTAACCTAACCTTCTTCGCGTCAATATGGAAATATAAGACTAACTACTCGAGATCGTCGATTTTAGTAATAAATAATTTATCGGATTTGAAAAGTCCGTAAACGTCGCAAAATAGGATAACAAAGTCGCTGAAATTCCGGAACCGGAAAAGCTAAGAACTCTGCTAAACATTCTAGGAATAGTTGTAAATGAATCGGTCGATTATCGTACCGAAGGCGAAGAAAAAAATACCCGGTTAATTTATACCTCTTTACGTAAACATCGAGAAACGACGTGGTACATAATGGAGCAAAGATTCGTTCGCGATCTGACCTTGTTAACGCGGTGGACGTTTAAGCATACCCTTTCACTGGCACGCTACCGAAATTCATTAAAAAAATGTAAGAGAATTACTTTCGTTCACTGGTAGCCGCTATTTTTAGGATTCTCGAGGCGCGATACGGGTGGTATAACGGTATATGACGAGCTAGTTCAAGCACGTTGTAAGCCGACTTCACGAAGCACATGCTGATCGAGAACTAATCGATTAGCGGAACGAGCACACACTGGAGATTGAATAATGAATCGCTATTAGAAATAGATGTCGCGTTTTTGTGTTTGCATCAACTGTACCACAAATTACATCCGTTTTCGACCGCGGTTAATTTTAGACGATCCCGCAGGCTCGATTTCCATCGATCCAATGATACGACTAATGTACGTGATGTCGATTGATTCACTCCCGGTAAAGGAACTGATAAACATGTTATTCTGCAGTTGAAAATAGTTTCTGGCAGTTGCAAACGGCTCCTCGAGTAATCATACGTGTAGCTCTATCGCCAGTAGTGGAACCAGGGAAAATCGATGCGGCCGTGCCCGTTTGAGCACTGCGCGCCTCTCAACTGTAGGAACCGCCGCGATAAAAGCAGTCAAATCGCGCGAGACCATCGTTTAGACTTCCGAAATACGTAAGTAACGTACACTCGACACATACGAACCCTAAAAGATCCTTAAATAATCGAATAGATCGCTATTACTGAAATGAATCTCTTTAAATGATTCGGGAAAAGAATGTACTCCGATACCTTGATCGATTAAGCGAAGAAGAGATTATCGTTCCTTAAATCGAGATAAAATGAGATATGAATTCAAAGCAAAAGATTCATATGTGATATACAAAATATGTTCTATATTTTTGAAAGAAACAAGTTCTAAAGTTACATAGGTGACTTGAATTAAATATAGCCCTTTGAGTAAACAGAACAAACACAGGTGATCTGATATGTTAAAGAAACTTCTGAAAATTGTGAGATCACTGTTAAATACATTCGTATAAAAGAAATAAATAAGCTAATGGATTCTATAAATTAAAGCAATACATGATCGATACGAAATAGTCCCTCCATATTTCTCTAAAGCAGAAATTCCTGCCTCAGGCTGTTGCCCGAGTCACTGTGTACACATATATATCAACTATGCCGGCCTTTAGTACCTTACTCTTTATAAAATCATATATTACATATGATGACCAATATTTTGACGTTTTATTCAAGACTTATTTTGTCCTACTTTCATTGTATTCGCGTTACGTATGCACGATCTATCCAAAGGAGTCGACTCGTCGAATAATCGCTTCGTAATCGAATCCTGATGCACCGAAAAATGACGCGACTAACCAGGGAGCTACAGGGTGTTGAGGCGATACTTTGAATTCCCAAATACCAACCACAAGATACCGAGGCACTTTTTCTCATTAAATGTTTCTTCACTGTCAAATCACACGACGTTCCGTCATTTTTTATACGTCTGCTGTTACGCGAACCGAACCATGTATTATATATCTTTCTGTTACTCAAAAGGATATCGTCTGAGAAAGTTCCGAGCGTAACGCGACCACCCTCCTTGAAACTCCGCACGGCTTTGATCCGTTTTATAACTTCGATGGCGACGGGTTACGTTCGAAGCGACGCCTGGCGATCATGTTCCAAATACACCGGCTACCCCCCACTCTCTAATCGAATTTTCCGATTACCGCCACTCTTCTAAGGATCTTATAAAGGATCTTTCGTCTGTTCTTTGTTTTTTAAATGAAAATACAAATACTAAAACGGTTTTTTATAATTCTATGACGATGTCTTTATCATTTTTGCTATAAAAAATGTTAATAATATATAAATTTGACGAATAGAATATTTTTGTACTTTTAAGTTTATCCGGTTTATTACATTTTTCTTACAGTACGATTTTGTATCATGATATTACACGATAATTAGACCAAATATTTATTAAAATATAAATTGCAATGTTATGATAATATCATCCCGAATGCGGTATGAATTCTTTTTATCTTATCCTTTCCCATTAATGTATTCAGGGTATTTATTTTAAAATTTAAGAAACCACGGTAATTATCCAATTAACAAAACCTACTTACATGATTAAAATATTAAACAAGCTAGATACATAAATTAAATCTACATACATAACTTGCCATAACAAAAATACATTTGTAATAATAACTGCAACATAACGTTAAGTACATTAACAGTACATTAAGTACATTATACTTTGGTTTCATTAAATTTTTTTTTTAAATTGATACTTAAAATAAACGAAAACATTAATTTTTATCAGATACAAATATCGAAATTTTTTAATGAAAATATTATAACTATAAATATGATATCATTACTTATACCTTTTTACAATAAACATTTTACATTTAAAACAAAATTTTGTTTACAACTAACAGCGCATTTTAAATGATGTATTCTAAAAAATATAATCGTAATGTTGTGAATATTTTACACCTTTTTTTCACTTTGCACTTTGTAATGTTTATACCTATACTTTTATATACATATTTATTATTTAAAAGTATAACCTTCGTGTCTAGTACAACATAACTGATAACACACTAATTAAAAATGTTTATAATTATGTAAAAAAAATATGATTTTTTATTTTTAATAAGAAAACATACAAATAAAATATAAATCCTGTTTCAACTGATTCTAATGCAATTGTTACTCTTTATAGATGTATTCTAACTCTCTAACTCAATATCTTTGCTAAGGTGCGTTAATGATTTTTTACCCAATTGTTTCTTTGCATCTAAGGACTGAATTTTAGAATTTATAAAAAACGGTTCACTGGAATTCATTATCTCATTTACTGTCTTAGAATGTACATTAATCTTGTGCCTCGATAAACTATTTTGACTGGAATAAGTTTTCTTGCATACATGACAAGGATATCCAAGTCCATAGTGATATCCTTCATGCTTAGACTTTGCATTACTCCAATTTGGAATCTTTCTTTGACAAATAGAACAAATAATTATTGCATGTTCTGCATTAAAGTGTAATTTTCGTAATGCGGCAGTAGGGAAACGTTCACAACATCCAAAACATTGATATGGCATTACAGTATCAAAATGTTTGAGCCTTATATGGTCATCAAACTGTTTTTGTGTTGTAGCAATAGTGCTACAATAATAACAATGTATTTCTGTTGGCAAATCAATAAATTTCTTGCAGCATGTAACAGAACATTCATGTTTGTTCCATACATTGATATCAACAAAATTCTTTTTACAATAAGCACACCTTAATTCTGAATTTGTTTGATGTTTATCAATATGAACATCCAAAGCTTTTTTGTTGTAAAATTTATTTCCACATACACAAATATATTTCTTAGCCATATTAAATTTATTAGTATTAACTTGTTTCATTTCCAGAATTCTCTCACGAGTCCAATTTGAATTAACTTCTTTACTTTGTAGTGTGCTTACTTTTTCTGTATTTTTTTCTTCTTTATGAAGATCATTTACCAATTCATTCATTTCAGTAATGTTATTATTACACGACTTAGTCTGCAGTTCATTTTCAATATCAATATCGACGTCTTCTTCAACGACCTGTATTTTTACAATACTATGATATTTACTATATTTAGATGATGCTAGATCAGGTGATTGAACAGGTGATTTTATTTGGTCAATATTTCGAGAAATATCTGATTTTTCAGTGTTTTTTGATTGGCTGGAACCCTGTAAATTGCTTTCGTTTTCACTATCTTTACCAACAATTTCATAAGAATTATTCTTTTTCTTTATCGTTATATTAATCCCAGGACTGGAATCTTTATTACCTTGTTGTTTATCATGTAGAATTGATTCATCTAAGTTATTTTCCACAGTAGATATTTTATTAATTTTCAAAGTACAACTTCTTTTATGCATAGCTAATCCTTGAGGAGTATTGAACAGTTTTCCACAAGAACATCGAGTTTCGTAGTTGTCATTACTGGTTGTATTACATCCTTGTTTCTCCTTATTCAAGTTTTGAAGTGCTTGTCCTTTTACTTCTTTTTTCTTAGATGAACTTGAACTGTATTTATCCTTGTTTAAAGTTAAACTTTCCTTCTGTTTTAATCCAGGTGTAGATTTTGAACATCTGCTGTTAAGCAACTGCATATTTTCTTTCGTTTCTCCACGAAGACGATGACGATTTACATGCTTATAGAAACTGTTTCTAGAGTAAACTCCAAGACAAATATCACATTGTCTCTTATTATTTTGCCATACGCTTGGTACCTTTAATGTACCATTATTATCGATTTTACGTTTCTTTGTCGAATCTACAGGTGATATACTTGATTTTCGTTTCTCTTTTTCTTGAACAGGAGAATACTTTTGAACAGTTCCACGTTCCTTCAAAGATTTATTGCTGACAATCGAGCTATTTAGTTCTTCAAATTCTGACCTAGAAGATGATTTTTCCAATTCTCTCATGAAATCAGAATATTCAATTTTATGATAATCAATCAAATGTTTTCCAATATTCTTTACTCCTTGCTTACATAATAAACATGTCACCAATGCTAAGTCATGATGTAAAGAAGTTTGTTTCTCATTCTGCTGTAAATTTGCACCTGATATTCTTTTCTCTTCTTTCTTATGTGAAATTTCAGTCTCATTTATATTGTTGTTAGGATGAACTAAAACACTTGTTCTTGTTTTTAATCTCTTATGATTAAATATATTCTGCTCTGTTGAAGATACTATTGTAGATCGTGATAAAGAATCTGTAAATATATTTTCATTTCTCTTTGAATAAACTTGTTCATTATCCTTTTTTTCTTTCTCAATCACATTAGACTCTCTCTCTGTTTGTCTTTCACATTCTTTTCTTTTCCTTCTTTCTCTGTCCCCCTCTTTATCAATACTTCTTAGATTTATATCACAATGCTTATTTCGCAGTGGATTCATAAAAATCCTATGTACTTTCTCTGCATGCTGTCTCAAAGTTAAATGTTTTGTATAAAGTTTTCCACAAGTTGGACACTGAAATAATTTCTTAGTAGTTTTTACTGAAAATACAAAATTTGGTAATGCAGCATTGTCATTAGATAACACTGGGTGGTATTTAATATATGATTTTGAATTTGTCTGTTTTGGTAATAATTCACTGGATGAATTATCTTGAGCATTTTTTATCAGCTGCAATGTTTCCCATATTTTATCACACCTTTCAAGTAACACAATAGGATCCTTAATTTTATATGGTACACTATAAGGGATTGATGATGTCATTAATTCGCTCTGAAACCAAAAGCATGCGTACAATTATTATTTTTTATGTTTTTTAAACATTTTATATTAATTTTAAGATTATTTATAAACTGTACGTGCATGCTTTAAAAAAACAATGAAAGATGTACTATAAACTACATAATGATTAGAAAGATCATAATGAAATTTAATTACACTACATCTAGAAATATTTATTTAACTTAAATTATTACATAAAAAAATACCTCTAATCTTATATATCAATTAAATTATAATTTCATTATACATAATATCGCTAGTAGAAAAAATATCAATTATGCATTTATAAGTATAGTATATACTTACAGTACTCAATGTATCTTCACTTGATCTAGATACATTAAGATAACAAGGTTCGACCTTAGGTATACATAAATTTGTAATGCATATTTTCTGTTCTAATTGTTCATCAATTTTATTTTCATCATCATAATCTGGATTTGTTTCATCATAAGATTCATTACTTAACATTTTAAGCGAAAACGCGGGAGACTGAAATGTAAACGAAAATTCAAGGTCGGTGTGATATGAACATAGCTGTCTACTATATGTATATATATATATATATATATATATATAAGAAGTAAACCAACATTTCGATTGATTATTTAAACGGTTTTAATTGTTTTTTCCACTGCTCCTTTGCCTTTTGTTGTCGTTGCCTTACAAAGGAAAAGGTAGCAGTCGATAACGTCCGTTTTATTCTGACCTAATCTTTTAACTTACAATTATATACAATACTGATTTAATAAACACTTTGCAATTGATGGTATCATTGAATGTAAAAATTATTATGTAAATAAGTATAGAAATAATCTTTTTAAACGCAAGTTAAATTAATTAAGAGTAACATTGCAAAACTTCTTAAACAATAGTATTAAATTACGGTAGATAGAAATTGGCATTTGAATAAATATTGTAATATAGATTCACATCTTTTTAAGTCAATTTTGTATTTAATATACAACTATACTGGAATGAAATTTCAGAAACCAAACATACCTACCCAATGAAACGCACTTCAATTTGAGGTTAGTTTAATATATGAAATATGTAATATGATGTATAGGAAATATCGAATTAGAATATTTATTAATGTTACAGAAAATAGAAGATTTTTGCACTTTTTTTAAGTTTAATCTTATAGAATAAAAATCTAATTATGTATTTAACATGATGGTATCTATATATTTAGTCCGTTCACTATAGTCGACATATAAGTGATCCATTCGAAATGAAAGTGGTCCTAAAGTGTTTTAAGTCAGTAAGAATGTTACTGATTCATTTGTTTTGAATCTTATTCAATTGTCCGACAAATCTCTGAATTTAAAAAAATATAAAATCATTTAGATAAGATCCTATAAAAGGATCTTGTAAATAGTCGTTCGTCACTGGCGTCATCCCAACAAGGTCTAAAAGTATCCATCTTGGACGATGCATGAAACGTTTCGGAATTACTCAATTCATCCATTTATTTATATGAATAACATTATTTATCACATACTCTGGTCATGTTAAACATGTGCTTAAAGAGCTTCATTCAACATACCTTTCTTGTGTATTATATGTAACTGTACTGTTGCCTGCTATTGCCCAGACGGTAGGTCGCGTTATGACACCACAATTCTTGAGAATTAGGGTTTCTAACCTGTTCGAAACTGCTTTAGTTATACAAAGAAACTAACACACATTATGTACCTCGTTTCCAAATGTCGTAGCATGTTAAAAATGCATAATGCACGATGTTCTTACACAATCCGAAGCAGTAAGCTCGATCTCCCAAATGAACTCCTAGCGATGTGGTATACACTCTTGAGTACGGTGTTCTTTTCAGGCAAACGTACACAAAAACAAATCTTTTTCAACTATAATAGCGCTTACTCGAACAAGAATCACTTGGACATATGTTTCTAGCTAAACTAAAGTCTTAAATATCGAATAATACAAATTTCAAGAAGGATTTCTCTAAGCGTACGACGGTAAGCAAATCCACAGCTATGATCGAAGTCTGTAGTCTGTCCATTCCAACCTACATAAGAATTACATCTACACTTAACCAGTTATGGATTCATTCAATGCTCCTTAAACGAGAATTCTTTTAATAAATTCATTGTAAGGAATATAATCCATAAGATTATGAGTAAGGGGCACTTTGTAAGACACTTATAACGAAATAGACGGGATTTATGTTAAGAGTATGCATCTACCTAATATAGTTGATAAAGAGAACGTAATTTCCAAACTAATCTCAGTAGAGTCTTGATAAAGGCTTACCTAATTTTGATGTTTAAAAAAACTTATTAAAAGATCACATTATATTGGTAAACTAGCTCTACACTAAACATACAATCTACTATACTGGTCTACTTCAAGACACCAAGGATAGCAGCACACCAAAGCAACCATTATATTACTTTAAAATAAATTTAATTTACGAAGGAAAAGACGTATTGAGACGTTATAAGATTCAGTTTCACAGTTTAAAATGTCAGTCACATTTCAGGTTACTTTTGGTGACAGCAGCACTATGTCTGTTTTCTACAATAATAATATACCGTTATCTTAAAGCACAACTGTACATCTTTTTTCTTGCAGAGAACGTATTAAACTTATGTAAGGTGAAGATTTCAATGAAAAGTATTAATCTTAAATACACATATAACGCTTTCAATGTTCGAAAATTTTATGATCCAAAACCTGATATTTCAGTAGAAGTTACCGATGTTAAGCTATGTGTATTTGATACTAACAGTGATCAGTCTTCAACAAAACGTTGAACTACCCTTGAATCCTACATTTCCGAGTTAAATACTTCTTTTTAAATAACATACATTTAACAAATATTTGTTACAACTTCGTTATTACGTTGACTGCATTCACATAATAGACGTGTCGTTCAAGCAAATCAAAGAAGGTCATCACTGTTGAATAACAGCATTGCGCAAAATCTACCTGATTCTGTACCCGATAAAATTGTTGTAGTAATGAACATTCATTTCCGGCGAAATGCATATAAAGGCACGAATATTTTCTTGTATTAGTCAGTATTTGTTGAGAAAAGATGCAAATCCTTGTTGTCTTTCTACTGTTTACTACCTGCAAGCTGTCAACGCAACTAGGAGTTTATGATAGAGGTGCTTTTGTTAATTTGTTAATATTGTTCTACTAGAAAGCTCTGTGGTGAAACAAAGGAGAGCTGTACATTTTTAGTGAATATTACTTTTAAATTGCAAATTTTTAACAATTATAATTCATCCGCGCGAGAATATTTATCACCAACTTAAAATGTATCTGTTTCAAGGCCACTTTGCTGAGAAACAATTAGTTTCTTTATTTCATTTATGCAGGAATGCAGTTTTCTGGAAGCATGCAATGCCTTAAAACCGTTTTTGGCATAAGCTTGGGTTTCGGCATGTTTTCTCTTTAATAAATAAAAAAAATATATATATACTGATCGAATTGAGTAACCTCCGTCTTTTTCAAAGTTTGTTAAAAAATTATTTGATGATCTGTAGATGATGGTTCAGGTGCATAGATTGGATGAAGTAGATGTAGGATTCGAATAATTCCATTTCTCTCAGATCAGTATTACGTTATTTTATTTTTCGAAGATTTAAAATAGCTAATTTACCTATAGGATTCTTGAACTATGTTATTACATAACATTTATGATTTTTCAATTCTTCTTTCTTCAGGACAGCACTCCTTTTACTACCCTGCGTTTAAAATCTTATTATGCAATAAAAATATATAATTAATTCTTAACAAAACACATCCTTCTAACAAAATACATTATAAATTAATTAACAAATTACTGATAATAATTATACTTTCTATTTGTAGAAAATGGTAGACTACTAAGAGACCTTCATCATGGTAAACTCTTCCAGACAATTGGGGATTGGTTTGGAGATTTAAAAAATCACATTAACGAAAGATTATTTGGACAAACGACAACGACAACGACAACGACAACGACAACGACAACACTATCTCCTTTGCCGATAGAAATATTAAATTTGGATAAATTTCAATTGCAGAAGAGATTAAGAAATCGTGAATGGTTTCTTTTAGACTTAAGTAAATACCATGTCTTATAATAGTAAAATTATATAAACAATCAATATTCGATTACAGAATTACAAAACTAACTTTCTGGTAAAAATGTATTAAACTTATTTTTATAAAATACAGCTAATTTAACGTTTGATCCTAACCATGATTGGGGATTCCACGTCGGCAGTTGGTATTTTATTCGGAAAGGATTTAAAGATCGTTATGGATCTGGAAACGATTTTAACGAATCGGATCTTCAGTCGAGTCAAAGTACCATTCAGTCGCAAGATCCAACTGAAGTAAACATTGCAGAGACTTTTGAAACCACAAACGATTTTGTGACAACAGAATTTTCGTCAGCTATATCAACAACAATAACACAAAGTGAGATGCCATTGGTAACAACACAAAACTCTATGGAAACCTATTCATCTGAAAGTTCTTCATCAACGTACGTATCGGTAGAGGATGATAAAATCACTAAGGATTTTACTCAGAAAGGATCCGTAGAAGTTTTAATAGGATAATGTAGTATACATCCTTATGAGTAATAAAATGCGACTTTTATTAAACTGTGTAACTAGAACACGATCGGTTTTTGTATCAAAATAAACATTTTCACAATTAAAATACTCATGTTTACAAATGCATACATTGTTATTGCAATGAACCTTTATAGATACATAATATATCAGCAATAAGGCGTAAAAAAAAAGGTACAGCAGTGGATTTTTTTTTCATCAAGAAGAATACACTTTTATTCCGTAAAATTTATCATAATCATCCTAAAGTTATAAATTATTATAATAATTTTTACGTCCGTGTTGAACAAAGCGTGGTCTTCATGATGTCTTTTCATTTTACTGTAAAGCAAAAACAAAAAGAAACAAAAATATTAGTAGAAGTTTTATCTCTTAATATTAATCAGTGTTACACCCTACATGCACAAGTCTTCTATTTCTACTAAAATCATGAAACCCAAAATGATGACGAATAACGATACACAACTTTGAAAACAAATGAAGAAAAAAAAAATTGTGATATGTAACAAAATGCACTGATTGTGTTTATCTTCAACCACAACACACTTTCTTCTGATATATTATTTCCTAATAATAAACACACTATTATATATGTATAATATCTTGTCCTCATGTTATGTTGAAGTAACTATAAAACTGATGCAAATAATTAATTTTAATGTTTTTTTATATGATACATTTTTTATATTAAGATACCTTGTAAAATTATAACACAAAAGTATACTATGTATGTATGTGTATGTAATATAAAATAAATACTACATGCAACTAAGAACCTATTGAAAATGAACTAAATGTATGCTATAATAATTAATGAAAAAATATATACTAAAAATGTGTAATTATATTTTATATTCTATAAGCACCACAATGCAAAAGTATTAAGAAAATAGAAGCAATAAAACAATATGAAAGTGGGGAGACTGAAACTTAGAAGTTTGCATGCTGACCATGTATGAGCATCATAATTAAGTTCCCTCTTGAAGCTTGTAGTACAAATGATGAGCATTTGACTACTTCCTTCCCTAGAATGTAAATAATAAGCATATACCACTGAAAGGCATGCAAAAATTATATGTATTTTACATACATATAAAATATATTTAATATTTTTTAAACATCAAATGTATTTTATATGTATTATATATGCATATAATTTTATTATAAGCTTTAAATTATATAAGAAATGATAAATCTGATCATTCACATATCCAGTCAACAATTTAAAGAATTGCAAAGTAATCATATACCCAAAAAATACTAAACTTGTTTTTATCCATAGAACAAAGTATAATAATAATATGGCATGTAATTTTAAAATAATAAAATGCAGAGTGAAGCCTTTGTCTATCATTGTAAAAGAGGTTTATCTAACTGAACGATAAACATCGAAACATAAGATTTGAAACTGAATGAAAGAAACTGGATATGCTTAAAGCTTAAAACTACTTCAAGACTTTAACCCTCGAGCGGCGGTGGTCGGGTTAATCGTGACCCGCATCTATGAAAAGGGCATACCGGTGCGTTGATTAAAATTAGGCACTCAAATAACCAAACGAAAGACTTTCATACATCGTAAAAATTTTATTTAACGAAACAGTATAATATTTAAAAGATGAAAATGAAAACAAATTCAAGATTAAGATTAGGATTAGAAACTCTAAATCATACGTTGCGTTATCAAAAATTCTGCTCCGCAATCCGAGGGTTAATACTTTGACTGAAATATACATAATGTGTAGTAATCTAATTTTTAATAAAAATAAGCAAAACTATATTTTATTTATTTATCAAATATATTTAAAATGTTGCAATTAAAAAATTATTCCAATTGGTTGAAAGTAATTCACATTGCATATATTACAGATGCATAAAATAATTTAAGAGAATAAATGTAGTTATTAATAAAAAGATACAAAATATGTATGCTTCCACTTTAGAAGCATAAGCATAAATAAAATGCTTTAAATGACCTAAATGAATGATTCCTTGATAAAAATTATAGCACAATGATGCATATTAGAATTTAAAAAAAGTAAAAAAAGAACCCATTACCAAATGAATGTACAATACATAATCCATCACCAATTTATCATTTATAAAGAAACATTAAATAAATGTACAAATATAAGAAACTTTCATCTCTTTGTTCATAAATAATGTAGCTCATAATTAAAATAACAGAACTAAGACAATCTTACCTTTTTAGATGCAGCTCCTACTTTACTCTTCTTTGTACCCCTAACTTTCTTCATCCTGTTCTTACGTTCTTTACGCTGTTTCCTTGTTTGCTTCTGTTTCTCATATAGTCCATGCCTGGCTAATCTATACTTGGGTTCGAATTTTTTCGCAAAGTCTAATGTATCATAAACCAACGCAAATCCAGTTGATTTGCCACCCCCAAAGTTTGTTTGAAAACCAAATACAAAGACTACATCTGGTGTAACTTTGTACATTTTGGCAAGCTTTTCCCGTATTTCTGTTTTACGGACCGACGGATGGCCCGGGTGGAAAACATCTACAACCTGTAAAATGAACGCACCACTTTATAATTAGAAAATTTACGATAACCATTAGCTAACTACTACTCGAACTTAACGTCTCGTAATAGCAGAAATTACTATCTTCGGAGAATAAAAATAAAATTTATATATACAAATACGTACCATTTGTTTTCGGCATAATAGCCGATTGCTCATAAATTTCCTGGTCCTAATTGTCACCGCGCCTTCCGTCTGTAAAATAGAACCATATTACAAGGTTATATTTTGTTTAATACTATTTTTGTTATAGTTTCATTATTTTCAACTGTAACGAATAAATAAATGTAAAAAATAGTTTTCTTTAAGAGTTCATTAACGTAGTTAAACTACATATTTTCATTTATATTTTTATTTTCATTTTATTTATCAATAATATTTGTATTCTGGATAGATATATCCACATTAGAATCATGTGCATGTTAAGTACTAATAGAAATGGTATTTGTGAATTATATTTATAAAAAGTAGATAGTGATGTACTATTAATAAGTTTATAAACCAATAATATCAACTTTTTTCAATGATTAACGAATAATTTTGCGATATAAATTACATACCATTTTGCTTGATTAGTGTACCGCCAGCAAAAGGACGGATGCGGAAGCGTGTTGCGCTATCTGTGATCGAACAGATTCACAACAGTTCAATACAATAACTAAATAGTAACAATTTTTATACCTTTCTCAATTGCATTTCAGTTATATAATGCAGTTTATATCATCTGAGTAAATATAAGATATTATTTAACAGAATTGAACATCTAAGTAAATGTAAAATGATTACAATTTTAAACCTATTCTTGTTCCCTATAATTTAGGGATTTTAGGATCGTTTACCGTAAAAATCATTAAAATCGTTTAAAAAACGTTTAAAATATGTTTATATTACTTGGAAATAGTGTTAATTATTGCAAAGTAACATTTAAAAATTTGTTAGCATACATGTATTTTTTTGAAATACAGATTTATTTTCAGTTACAACTCTTATTTTTAATATAAATAATCTCATAAACTCGTATTGAGTTTAAAATACATAAAAATTGTAATTAATTCCCTGATAAACTATTATTTTACAATAAAAATAAATGTTTTACAACGTTATCGACAGAATACAGGCGTATTCATTTTAGAAATTCTCAGGAAGACCGTAATTATATTTGGCGCTGTTTGCACTTTTCAGTCTATCTGATTGGTTCTCTTTAGAGTAACGTCCATTACTCTTCTAGGAAGTTTCGAGAACGGATACGAACAGTAATATTGGTGGGAGTTCTATGCGCTTGCAATAGTTCGTCAAATACTATTACGTGGAGTGAGACGAGCGTTCTTGACGCACGGATATTTTCCACGAGCAACTTTCTGCTGATACAGGTAAGATCGGATGCTAATCATTACGAATTGAAGACTTGTAAAAAATATGCGCAGATGGCTAGAATTTTCGCTTTTGAATCATGCGATCGATTACAAGCTCTTGAAATATTTCTCGAAATACGAATTTTCAGTACGTTAAATATGCAAAAACAAATTATAGCAGAATAGTTACAGATATTGAAGAATATCATCACGATTTTAAAGTTGCCTCAATGATTATTAAACTTGAAGTGGTCTTTTGAAGGTTGAATAGTAGATCTAAGTACACTTAAGCATATTGTATATTACGAAATATGCCTCAATGAATTTTATCATATACGCTGCGCTCGTCCATGACTCGCACTTTACGTTGAAAAATGGTGGATGTTCCTATTGCCCTACTCATGTCAGTACAAAACGTGGTTGAAGTTGCCAAATATATCTGTCAGTTAAAATGTATTAACTTGTATTCATAGCTTTCATTTTTACTTGCACAGTTTAAATTATATACTGATATGTACTTCTCACCTTATAAAATTATCATTTCAATATTTGTCTTTTTGTCTGATCTTCAACCGGCAGTCCATGTCTTCCGTAAATATATATGTATGTGTGTATATGTATACGGGTTAGCAGAAGGATCTAGAAAGTGTGGTATTCTTTGTTCATGACAGGATGGAACAGTACGATACGTCGAAATCAGAATTGAATTTCCTTTTTTATGTCAATTAATTATATTTCATCGACTTAAAGTGAATGTCGCCGCCATTTTGAAACCAAAGACGCACATGGATACAATTTACTGGAGTTTTCGAGACCCTGCAGCTGAAATTACTCCGAGTCTAATACGTATCGATGAAAATATTTTGATTCAACTTAAATTTGTTTGTAAAGACTGAATTTTTAAACATTTAAAAAAAACTTTATGGATATATGTTAATTGTGTTATATAATTAAAATGGGAAGTATTTGAAGTTCAAGGTCGGAACAAAACAGTTCCGTTCTCAAATTGCGTTATAATTTGCTTATATATTTGTAATATTTTAATATCTACGAGCAACGTAAATGATAGAAAAGTATTTTTTATAATACAAGATGCACATATTTATTTTGCAGTTTAATGCTACATTTTGTATTGAATTCTTATTATATGGAATGAGTTTTAAATCATACTATATATACAATAGATTCGTGACGTGTTTCATGAATTCCTAAATTGAATGATAATCAATGCCTTTTGTAATGCATTTGTATTTTCATTTCCATTAATGTTTTTCCAGAAAGAAGATATGATCAGTAATGCAAAGTAAACATTTTGTTTTAAATATAAAATTATTGATATTTCTTAGAGAATAATTTATCTTTTGCAGAGTTCTTAGGATTTTATTTTGTTTTAAATAAAATGTTACATTTGTATATATATTAAAATATAGCATATAGTTTTGTTTACAAATTGAAACACTATGTAATATAGGTATAATATTTTCCAGCTACTAGGTATATAGTTCTAATCCATTTAGGTATAATGTAATTAATATATAATGTTTATTTTAAATGTATATATGTTTTGTGTTTACATCAGAAATGATTATCAAGATTATTAAAGTACTGAAAGATTTATTGTAATTAAAATGAAATATGAAATCATTAATAATTTTAAGAAACTATCAGTATAATATATAAAAACTCTAATTTGTAATAAAATTATAGTACATGTAGTAAAATTAAAATAATATTTTAGTTTTCTTTTGTTATTAGCAGAAACAAAGCTAGTGTAATTACATCAGCACAGTTGGTAAGGAACACATAAGTGAAAATGGTGAAAGAGACAACATACTACGATGTCCTTGGTGTGAAGCCTGGATGCACACAAGAAGATTTGAAGAAAGCTTACAGAAAGCTTGCCCTCAAGTTTCACCCTGACAAAAATCCCAATGAAGGAGAAAGAGTTAGTAGTATTTAATCATTGACAACATAATGTATTAATTAATTATTATGAAGATTATTTTGCTAAACTTCGTTTTGATTACAGTTTAAACAAATTTCGCAATCGTATGAAGTATTATCGAACCCTGAGAAGAGAAGAATTTATGATCAAGGTGGAGAACAAGCTTTGAAAGAAGGTGGTGGCGGCGGCAATGTATTCTCCTCGCCTATGGATATCTTCGATATGTTCTTTGGCGGCGGTTTCGGAAGAGGTAATCGAAGGAGAGAACGCAAAGGTCAAGATGTTATACATCAATTATCTGTTTCACTGGAGGAGCTGTACAAGGGCACTGTTCGCAAGTTAGCTTTACAAAAGAACGTTATTTGTGATAAATGTGAAGGTTTGTATCGTTGAACTCGATCTATTAACAATATTTATGTAAGAATAAGAAATATAGTTTCATCTTTTTGTTAGGTATTGGTGGAAAGAAAGGTTCTGTAGAACAGTGTTCTACGTGTCATGGATCAGGTCTACAAGTTCAGGTGCATCAGTTGGGACCAGGAATGCTGCAGCATATGCAGACTATGTGTGCAGATTGTAAAGGACAAGGAGAACGTATAAACCCACGCGACCGTTGTAAACAATGTGGTGGCAAGAAAACAATAAGGGAGAGGAAGATTTTGGAAGTTCATGTTGATCCAGGAATGGTAGATGGACAGAAGATTATTTTCAGCGGAGAAGGTGATCAAGAACCGGACTATGAACCAGGAGATATCGTTATTCTTCTCGAAGAGAAGGAACATGAAGTCTTTAAGTTAGTATTTTAGTCATTGTAATTGATTGGTACTATATTATTTTTACGTTAATTACATGTTTACCGATATATCATTTCAGGCGTACACGCAACGATTTAATCATGAGGATGCATCTAGAACTCGTGGAAGCCCTATGCGGGTTCCAGAAAGTTATTCGTACTTTAGATGGAAGAGATTTAGTAATAACATCATATCCAGGACAAGTTATAAAACACGGAGACTTTAAGTGTATTTTGAATGAGGGAATGCCGGTTTACAAAGATCCCTTTACACATGGCAGACTTATAATTCAATTCGTAGTGGATTTCCCAAAAACTATAGACGCTGCTGTTATTCCAACGCTTGAACAATGTCTACCTCCAAGAGAAGAGGTTATTATTCCAGAAGGTGCGGAAGAGTGTCAGCTTACGGATCTGGATCCGGAACAGGAAGCTAGGCGAAGAGATCAGCGGCAAGCATACGAAGAAGACGAAAGTGGTCCTTCACGAGTCCAATGTGCCACACATTAAAATGATTACATCAATTTTACAATAAATATGGTCATTCTTTCATTTTTAACTTCTATCCCATTCGCTCGATTCTGATCGTATGTATTAAGAGAAGAACGAAAAAATGCGGGCATATAAAAAGTTCTTCAAGATGAACGAAAAGAACCTGAAACGTTTAGACATGTGCACCACTGTGAAGAACCATACTTATGGAATCACCAACGACTCTAATGCAAAGATTACAACGCGGATACTGAATCGTATAGGAGACCGTTGCTAGTACCATTGATGATATATTTATCATCATTCCTGAGTTGAACTATAAATTCTGGTGTAAACGAGTAAACTGATTACAATTAATTCATTGCTTACTGTAGAAAAGTATTGAAACAAAAAATGTACTTATCATTAAACACAGTGATAAGAAAATGATGAATTTACTCAGCATCTAATGCAACATCGTGTAACGTTAGTAGTGAACAGAAAACATAATCAATTGTATCCTGTAATGCTAAACATTCTAATTAACTTTGTCTATTTGTGATTTTATTTCTTTATAATTAGCAATTTTTCAACACTGACACGCGCATATCGAATGCTAGAAGTACAGTTAGACAGTCGAGTGAAATTAGTACATTATTTGTATTTTGGCTATCCTGATGTTTTTTTAAATTATTCAGCATTTGATTACATTTTTTTTCTTAATTTAGTTCAATGTTTACACAAGTAACGTTGATGGTCATGGAAGTAGTATGAAATGTGATGAACGTACTAATGTAATAGAAATAAATAGTATAACATTTTTCGTAATATTAATTACAAACTTCGAAATCCGCTTTTTTTTTTAGTGGGACACATTATTCCATTACATGTAATGTCCAGTTTATTTAGGTATTTATCACTGGCATATGACTACGCTAAAAAGGTACTTTGTCAGTCAATATTATTAAAAGAAATCACAGGTTCCTGTATGTGTGAGTGAACTACTGCGCGTATTTGCAAATATCATTTGTATAATAAAAAAAGAAAACGTTCCAATATTTGATTATAATTACGATACTGGAACTGAAAGTATGATTGATTTTCTTAAAATTCTATTTACTAACGTTAGCAGAAAGCTGGTTTTTGTATAACATTTCTAAATGAAACATATTTCGCCTGTTCATTTCTCTACTAAATCAGTAATGCGCGTGAACAAATGTCCATTTTAATGAATCGTCTCTGCATTAAATTAAATACGCCTTCGAACATTCACATAATTTACTGTATATAAGGTCATGTACTCGTCCGCAATTACTATAGCAAATTTAAATAGACGCGTATTATAATCTTATTTATTATAGATAAATTGGTGATTGATTAGTACGTTTTTGAATCGTCTCAAATAAATTGGAAAAAGTAAAATGTCAAATATATCAAAATACTTATTGTTACAGCACTTGACCTTTTAATCCTTTGTCATGATTAAATTTTTATTTCGTTTATTATTTAATTTCTCTAATTTAGTCTAATGTTAGTTCAGAATTACATCTATACAAATATTTATTCTTTAACACTGTAGTAATTGTTCCATCAATGTTGTTTTTATTCTTTCTCTTTACGAAAAAGAGTAATAATTCATCGTGGATGTATAGACAGGAATTAAGTACATTTAATATCGTTCATGAGAGGTAACAATGTTAACGTGCCTTTGAGTTACGTAGAATAGCCTAACGATGGCGATATAATCGCAGCGAGGGTCGATGTTTTTGTAATGTGCGTATACGAGAGTGGCCGAAAGCCAGCCGTCGAGATGCCGCAAAGGTTTCTGGGTATGCGGAGGGAGCCATATTTTTCCAATATCAGTTACGCGAAAACAGCGTACGCATAGCATCTGCAGAATGGAGTTTCGTTCAGTAGCCTGTGTCGAGGCAGTGTTTTACACAAGAAAGTGATTACGAGCCAGACGACGAGAGATCAGTGCAAGAAAGCAAGGCAACTGTGCTAGTCAGAACATAATAAGCCGACGTTTTCAATGCGATCAAGAAGTGAGGTTCGGTGAAAACGATGAGCGCGGCCCGCGCAGGTGTTCGAGTCGAGAAGAGGGTTAGTTAACTTAACCCGAGTTCGTAACCGCGACCGGTGGTAGTGGTGGTAATACTAGTGGTGGTGGTGGAGGTAGCGGAGGTGGTGGTGGTGGTGCTACTGCTGCTGTGACGATGACACAGCGTCATAACACGACGTACGTCCGTCCGTGCGATTTAACGCGAATTGTTACGGCAATATAAAGTGTTTTTTGTACCGAGAGTGCATTCGCGCCATTACCGATCGAGCAAGTCGTGGCTCGGTCACGATTAACCTTAATTTATTCAGTGTTGAAGATGATGGTTTTTATTTTGTAGTGGGTGAACGAAGATTTGGAGTATCGTATTTTTTTTAGTGACAGTGGTTTATGGATGACATAATTGTGTGTCATTCATCGTTCCTTCGTTGAAAAGTGCGTACATGTGAAACGGAGCAATCAGAACTGCGACCGCGAATAACGCGACGGGACCGTGGCAATGACACAACGACCTTAACGACTTGACTTTCTTGTAACGTTAAAATAATTCTTGTTTATAAGTATCAAGTTTCATCACCAAAGTCGAAGTGAAACGTTGCTCGTCGGCATCCGTAACGTTTCAGATATTTCTTACGGTCAAGATAATTTTTCAGTGTAATCTACACGCGTCACGAGTAACAGCGTGTTCAAGAGTTTAGGTTAGTCGAATGCTTGGCCCCATTGTGTTGTTCCGACGCGACCGGATTGGTGAACAAGACAAACGAGTGAGCTGTCGCTTTATAAATCGACCTTGCGAATGAAAGCAGAAGCGTAATTTCCTAATAAACAGTGTTATTCGCTTGTTATCCGTCAAAGCGGTGCAGGGTATAAAAGTTTCAAGGAATTTATTTCTACCATTGATTTTACTGTAAATACCGCCAAATTTATTTAAACAAATATGATTTATATACTTGAAATAAGTAATTCTTCGACCGCACAGTGCTCGTTTACGATAGAAATTTGTGAACCGGTATAAACATTTTCAGAGGAACATGAATTAATGCTGTTAATAAAAACATCGTTTCAAAATGAAAATAAATTGACCAAACGAAGAGTTTTCGACGCGCTGTATTATTTTTTTACATTTTTCAACCGTTCAAAGAATAAAAGCTAACATCAAAATTTTTCTTATAATCTCAAATTCAGCAAAATTTCAAACAATCAACAAGGTTACTAGCATGATAAAGTGTATCGATCCGAAAAGAGAGGTTAGACGGGCATTGACCGGTGAATAGTTCGTGTCTGTCGTCGTCGGATATTCTCCAATTTCAAAATCTTAGCACCGTTATCGTATGGCGGCGATCAGCTGCGAGGGAAGTGTTTCCGAGCATATGTGTAACTTAAAAATTTTCAACGAGAATAGTTAAGAGTGAAAGAACAGCTGGTGAACTATCCATCTGGCATGCCCTACGCGGTGAAGCCGAGGATGTCGAGGAGCAACGAGAACCTGCACGACAGCTGCGTGATTGTAAGCATCGGTGAGCGTGCGTGGCCAGGAAGAACGACCGAGAGAACGCGGTGGGTTTCGGCAGTGGCAAGCGCGTGATTATTTCCGTTTACGGAGGATGCGGCAAGACCTTGAGGTATCTCCACGTAGGCGTTCTACCTGCGTTCCAGTGATGTCGGTGTCGGGGTTACTTGCAGCGCTGCTGGACCTGGACCATGGCCGGCAAGCCTGAGCAGCCGTCCACGCACCCTGCTCCCCCGAATCACGGTCATCATCATCATCATTATCAACAACAGCAACAGCCACAACAACAACAGCAACAACAACAACACCAACATCAAGAGCAGCAGCAACAACAAGTGCATCCTCAGCACGCACAAGGAATTCAACAAAATAGCGTTCTAGTCTACGTTTCGGGGGAGAATTTTGCGTACGCGACGGCGGTCGGTCAGAATGCCGCCGCCGCTGCTGCTGCCGCTACCGCAGTTGGCTATCAGTCTCCGCAGCAGGCGACGTACGCCGGCATTTTGCCGCCGCAGGTGGCGACGGCGGCGGCGACGTTTCCCGCCAAAACCGCCATATACTGTAATGATAACAGCGGTGTCGTTGGAGGCACAGCTAACAACTGTTGCCGGCTAAAGCCGCTCGAATATGTGTCCGCCGATGGGGACTCGAGTCGAACGCTGCGATCTTTGTCCACGGTTAACGCGGAAGACGAAGAGGATTACGGAACGATCATCTCGAACAACGGTTTACTCTACAGACAGACCAATTTGGTTCAAGCGATCAGCACGTCCGCAACCACGACGATGACGTGCGCCGTGTCGACGTGCGACAATAAAAATCCAACGAACCGAAGTCCGCTGGAAAACGATGCTAACAGTACCGAGAGTATCGCGGCGAACAACGTAGAACCGATCGGTAGGGTGAACGGAAGTGAAATGGTACCAAACAAATTGTTTTCATCGAGGATTCACGGTGAGATTTATCCTCCCGGAGCGAGACTGGCAGACGGTTACAACAATACCGGTAGAATCGTCCAAGGGAATGCCGGGGATAGTTGCGTCGGTATTCTGAGCGACGACGCTTGTGTCGCGTACGCGCGTCAGGGAAACGAAACGTCGCAAACGTCCGCGAGTGTTTATCAAGGCGATAGTGTCGAGCAACGCGTCAATATGGACGAAAAGAGCCGGCAGCAAGACGGTTACGATAATCAGGCCGGCTCGTCGCTTTCTTCGTCCTCGTCTAACGTCGGTGTCAGTGGTGGCGGTAGTGTTGTTGTTGGTAGTGGTGGTAGTGGTGTGGCTAGCTGTGACTCTGTTCGATCCGATACCGGTGAATCGTCGACATATAGTAGCTTGAGCAGTCCTGAAAGTCAAAGTCAATCGGCACACGACGGTTTGTCTACCGCGACGGTTAACGGCGGTGGTTCGTGCGCGCAGCAGGCTGCGCGTCAGCCGCCACTGCCGCGTATCAACAGTTCCAACAACAATAACAATACCGTGCAACAAAATGTGGTGCTGACGATGAACGGTAGTGCAGTGATTACGCAACAGCAGCAACAAACGATTACCGTGCCACGTGGATGGAAAAGGATATGTACCAACGGGGTCATCATTTATATCAGGTGAGTCTCGTTTTTTCTATTCACCTCTTTCATTCTGTGAAACCTAACCTTTCACTATGGCGGTCTGTTGCGCATGATGTAATCCAACATTTTGTCGGATAATCGTTCGATATTTATTTGAATATTTTTGAGGAAAATTTATATTCTATTGTGATTCACAATTAATTCTATATTTTAATTGGTATATATCTTTTTATTTATTTTCCATTTTTTATCATATATTTGCATCACGTTGGTAGTGAAAGGGTTGACAGTTTATATATTCAACAGATAATTTTGTTTACTGTGTTGTCATTTTGAAATGAAAATTTGTTACACGGAATATTTGTGTATTAGATATATATTTAACGTGAAAATTTTGACAAATTTAAACATTTAAACAAATTATTGCATATTTATAAATAATAATTTAATGATCGGGAATAGAGAAAATAATTCGAAATGGAAGATAACGAAACTTCATTTCTTATTTTTTAATTATGCTTCCCATTTATATCAGCAATTAAAAGACACCCTCTATACATCGTGAAAAAATGGCAACGAGTACATTAATTATATTCATTACGTATTGTAAGGCATGAAACGAGTAGGACAGAGAAAGTTCTCTGATATCGCGATATTCAGAATTGACTTCGCCATCAGGGTTTATCTTAATGGTTTGTGGGTTAGTAGCATCGATCCGCAGTTAAATACTCCAACTCGAACTTTAATTTTGCTAATGGAATTAAACTGCGTCCAGTTCGAGCAAATAAGATTAGCAAAGCGACCAGTAAATTAGGATAAAAAGTTAGAGACAGTACGGCACGCGATATTCCCTAATAGGAAAAGTCACCGAGAAAACAGGACCAGGGGATGAGTTGGTTCTTTCGAATAGTTTTCAGCATTTTGCTTATCAATTTGTATTAAATGTTTTTAAAATACTCCATTTCATATCAATAAATAGTGTATACTATATTTAAATCTAACAGAAAATTCTATATTTAATGGAGCAGCTTTGAACACGTTATAATTATAATTATTCCAGTCACTTTGATTTCATTTTCTAATTATAATATTAATGCAAATCAGAATTTTTTTATGGTTCTTCGGATTATGAGATCGGAGCAACCCTCAAATTTTTAAACTAAACATATCAGACTTCCCCAGGGGAAATGGCAATATAGAAAAGCAGGAATTCTTAAAATTTTTATTTTGACGATATTGATGTTAGAAGTGATTTAGAAACAAAAATAATATA